ATAACTCGTGCCTAATTTCGTGAAGATACCTCGTCAAATAAAAAAATGTTCCATGCAAGCACTTTACTCCGATCGTTCAGTTTGTATGGCAGATATATGCTATAGTGATCCAATCTGAACAATTTCTTCAATCAAGTACTTGCATGGAAAACTTTTTTATTCGACGAGATATGTTCACAATATTTGGCAAGAGTTTTTGCTAGAAGAAGTAATGCAATCTCCAAAGAAATTGTTCACATCGGATTACTATAGTATATAGCTGCCATATAAACTGAACGATCGGAATCATGTTCTTGCATGGAAAAATTGTTCATTAGATAAAATATCATCACGAAATCCGGCATTGATTTCTCTCAATGGCATATATCTGCCATACAAACTGAACGATCGGAATCAAGTACTTGCGAAGAAAACTTTTTTATTCGACGAGATATGTTCATAATATTTGGCATGAGTTTTTGCTAGAAGAAGTAATGAATCTCCCCCGACTTGAATTGAATGCTTTACAGGAGGACTCTACAAACATATATGCGCCGAGTGTGCTGGAGCACTACTTTTGCAAAGCAAGCAATATTTCTGATAATAACGAAGACTACAACGAAGTAGGAAACGAGGATGACACGACAGCTGCACTTCCAATGACATCAAAGGATGGAACAGGATTTTTAAGGAAAAGGAAACAAGCCCTTATTCTGCGTTGGAAACATTTTAGCGTTGAAAGTTCAAGAGCCGCTCTCTTCAGAGAAACCGCCATGATGTTTCACCCATGGAGAAATGAGGAAGCAGACTTATTAAATAATGACGTCGAGAGTATTTGCAATGCACACAAGGAGCAAATTGAGCAGAATAAGCTCAAATATGACAAATTTTCATCGAACGAACTAGAACGGATTTTGGAAAACCTTCATGTCACAGCGGAAGAAACAGCTGATGATCGAGCTGCCTCACAACTTTTAGATCCCAAATTCAGGGCTCTAGCCGTTACAGAGCAAACAGGAGATATTATTGTTTTTCAAGAGCACAACCACACAAAGGAAGAGGCGGTTCGATTAATTAAACTCCCACCTCTAATATTAGAAGACGATTTACTGATGATGGTGCAGTCACTTAACAGCAAACAGAGGGAATACTTTGCTCATGTAATGCACAATATCAGTAAAAGGAAAATCTTTATCGAATATGTCGGAGGCGGTGCTGGAGTGTGCAAGAGTCGGCTTATAACGACTATATATCAGTCGTTGGCATTGCGAGCTAATAGTGTACCAGGAACCAACCCCGAAGCAGCCAAGGTGTTACTCTGCACACCCACTGTCAAAGCAGCATTTAGAATTGGAGGCCTAACCTTTCATTCGGTTTTTTCACTTCCCGTCAACCAGTCTTCCGGCGATCTTCGGCCACTGAATAATGACACATTAAACACTATTCATGCCAATCTCATAGATATTAGGCTTATTATAATTGACGAAATTTCAATGGTTGGAGCAACGATGTTCGCATATTTAGATTGTAGACTAAAGCAAATTTTCAGGAGCAGCGCTTACTTTGGAGGCATACCAATTATCGTGTTTGGTGATTTAAAGCAGCTGCCGCCAGTAGGAGATCGATGGATATTTGCACCAAATA